CTGGGGAATTCTGGGAGTTGAAGTCCACTCATCTTAAAGTGGCCAAGTTTGGACAACACTGCTTTAGGGCAAGGCATGTCTGCACTATTTGCCACTTGTAAGTTAGTTTAACTTTCACCCCCCCCAAAAAAAATGAAGATTAGGATTACAATTATACAGTAGTGTTTATTTATTTTATACTTTTTTTACCCTGCCCATTTGATCTGAAGTAAATCCTTCCAGTGATTGACAAGATTAAGTACAATGTCCTGTTGCTAGAATCCCCTTGAAACTAATAAAACAGCGTAGCCAAGTGCCTAATTCTTACCAAAGCGGTAAAGGTGTGTCTGGGTTATAGTCCTTAAACTCTGTGTGGAATCTTGCTTGCTAATAAAATATCTTATTGGAAAAGCAAGTAGAGCCCTTCTTCCTGACATTTGCATCTTCCAGGTACCTGAAATCCTTGAATCAATTCACATTCCATCTCCAGCAACATTTAAGCAGGCTGGTTATCTTTCATTGAGTGATGCTGTAGTAAGAGATGAACTGTCTTATTTCTAATCTTACAACTCCATGAGTCTATAGAAGCCCACACCTGCAATCTAAAATGCCATATTTACTTCCTTTTATTTATTTATTTATTTACTCTTTTGTTAAATTGTGTTACTGTTTTAATCTTCTTAGTATTAGAAGGGAATGTAAACTGCTCAGAATCTCTCTGGATTGGAATGGTATATAAGCCTCAATAAAGAAAATTTAAATTATTAGTATGTATTCATCCTTAATCTAGCTGGCATATAAATAGACTTAATTTTTATCTCACTACCTACATAGTGTGTGTATATATTTTTATAATTATTTACTTGGTAATATGCTCCTTTTCAAATAATTAATGTATTAATTATAATAATTTTCTCCTTAAAGGGTAAGCTAATGTATGTTTTTCTCACTTAGTTTCCCCATTTTTGAAAATCCTTATCCCATGGATATTCATGATTCACCTGTTACCTGCACAGAATACTTTGCTGACTGTCCTCCAGATTTGATTCCTGTGCTATATTCTGTAGGTGCAAAACGTAAGAAACAAGGATATAGCAATAAGGTAAAGAATAAAAGGGGGAAAGTATTATCAAAGCAGGTTACTCTTTGTTCTAGTGTTCATGGTAATGTTTCGTTTTTCTTTGTTCTGGTACTTATGATGTTTTGGTAGGAGTACTGTTTCTCAACCGACTTGGAGATTTGCTGAGGGCATTTTCTGGGGGGTGCTTTCCCTGAAGCACTCGAACTCTCAATTGCTTTTCGGAAGGAAGAGTCACTAGCTCTTCTGTAAGAGTGCTGGGTCAAACTTTGAGCAGCTGGTCCTAAGAGAACAGCTCAGAGTCGCTGGGCTTAAAGAATCTTCTATCCTCTTGTTGTGGCATCTATTCCCTCTTCCCTCACCTTATTGCACTGTGAAATTTTCATTCTGTGGATGAACAGAAAGAAAAGATTTTCAGCAGCAATATGATCCACCTTCTTTGGTTATTTCCTGTAAGTGCTTAACATTCTTTCTAAGCAACTTCAGAGGGAGAGATCTCCCCAGGAGAAAAAGGAACAAAGGAAACCACAAGCAAAGGCACTAGAGTTGTAAAAATAAATATAAATTATCCATCTTGTAGCTCCCAAACCTCAGAGAATTCTTCTACTTTCCAACCCTTGCAGAGTTGGATTCTAGCTTCAGTGGGCAAAGCCAAGAATAAATAAAAGAAGTGGGGCCTCAGCACTTGGCATTTAGAAAGATTACACAGTTGTAAATCCTCCCCAAAAAGACAAAGGGAAATTCTTTCCCTGAGGATTTCCTAAGGAGAAAAAGAAGAAGGGAAGCTCTCAGAGGGAGAGACTGAAAATCCTACCAATCAGTGAAGACACTTTCCCCTGAGTTCTTTCAAGTTCTTCTTGCCAAGTTAGCCATGCTCTGCAGTTGTCAGGAGAGGTGGCTCAGTCTCAGTTTCTACAGGGCAACCTAAGCCTGTAAGGATGTTCCTCCGTTTCCTTTCCTAAGGTATGGACATTAGATTGAACTAATTTTTAAAAGGAAGCTAATCTCCAAGCTAGGTGTGTAGCTTGGCTCCCAGTTGAATCCAAAATGAATATAAGAAATTCAGTCAGTACTGGAATTTTTTTGCCAAATATGGACTCAGATCTATGGGTTCTAGAAATAGTTTCATGCAGGTATGTCCTCAATTTTTCTTATTACTTCGCCATGCTTGTGAATAACCTAAAAGAGCTATCATGTCTCCTGTAGTCTTCTCTTCTCCAAGATAAAAATACCCAACACCTCCAACCATTCTTTGTAAGTTTTTCCTTTCATGAGCAAAAGGCAATGTATATAATATAGGTAGTCCTCAGTTAGTGACCACTTGTTCAGTGACCATTCAAAGTTACGATGCACTGAACAAGCGGTGCTAATGACTACCCCTCAAAGTTCCGGCCATCCCGGCATCCCCACGGTCATTTGATTGCAATCCAGGCACTTGGCAACTGGCTCACACTTATGATGGTTCCACTGCCCTGCATCACATGATCGCCATTTGTGACCTTCCCTGCAAAGTCAATGGGGAAGCCTGCAGGGAAGGTCACAAATCACTTGCACTCCCACAGTGTTTTCCCCTGAGGATCCTGGCTGTACAGTATGATCCCAAGGATCTCTACTCCTTAGCGTGCATGCTGGCGGCATCTCTCCCACCCACAGCAGCCTCCTTGTGCACCTGGCAATAGCCACCTTGGCCCAGCCAAGCTCGCGCCACTCCATGACAGCCACCTGCACACCTTTGTGCACCTTCTCCCACCTGGCAACAACCACCCCCAGCCCTGCTGTGCTTGCACCATGCCTTGATGGCCACTCGCACACGCTCCCCCAACTGGCAGCAGCTATCCCCCAGCCCCACCACGCCAGCCACCTGTACATCCTTGTGCACCCTTCCGCACATGGCAGCATCCACCCCCGGCCCCACCGCACTTGTGCTGCACCAGTGATCTGCACACCCTCACGCTCCCTTGTGCACACGGCAGCAGCTACCTCTGGCCCTGCTGTGCCTGCACCTCGAAGGCCACCTGTGCACCCAGCAGCAGCCACCCCTGACCCTGCCACACTTGCACCACACCAGCCACCCACGCACCCTTGGACACCTGGCAGCAGCCACTTGCCTGCCTGCCAGCCTGCTTGCAAGTCACCTGGGACCTGCGACTTCCTGCCGGCTTCCCCGTTGACTTTGCTTGCTGGAAGCTGGCAGGAAGTTGCAAGAAGGTTCTTGCTTAACAACCTGCAGTCCTTGCTTAACAACGGAATGGGTAGTGCCGGGATTGCCTTCGCTAAGCAATGCAGTCATGTGACATCACTTTTATGACTGCATTGCCTAGCGACAAAAATTCTGGTCCCAATTACCATCATAACCTGAAGACTACCTGTACTCCTTTCTCCATTTTTTTTCCACAACAAAAAACTTGTGAGATAGGCTGGATTGAGAGAAAGTGACTAGCCAAAGTCAACCTGTGAGCATCTCAAGCTTGTGCTTGGACTCCATGGTTCTGCTGCAGCATGACACCCCACTGTTAGATTCAAGGGAGGGACCATCAGCCTGATCTGACAAGGTGCTTCCAAAGTTCTTCTAGACTTTCATTAGGATACAAGGTTTGTCCTGCCAAAAAGTCCCTGAGAGATGGAACCCCACCGCACCTCTCCCCAAGGACCCTTGGCAGGAATGTATTTCAATACAAGGGTCCTTGGCAGGAATGGCTTTTACGCTCTTGTTAGCTGATTCTTGGTAGAAAAAGGCTCTCCCATGCTCCCATTCAAATGAATGGAGCAATTTCCACCAATCACTTGACTAAGAAGGGTGAAAAACTCTATATTATCTCCCCTTCCCACCCCTTTATCTGTCTCTTCTTTTGTATGTGTGGGTCTGCCTGTTTCTCTCTTGTTCCCCTCTGTGTGCCTGTTCCTCTGGCTGTCTGCTCCCTCCATCTGTCTCTGCTCCTTTCTCCAGTCCTCTGTTACCTCTCCCATGTTGGGCCCGTCCTGTCCTCATGTGCAGGTTCCTGCCTGCCTCTCTTCCTCTCGCTTTGTCCCCGTCCCTTGTCTCTGAGAAGCCTTGCTCTTTCTCTAGGAGACAAGAACAGAAATAGAGATGGGAGTAGAGATGCCACTTCTAACTTCTTGTTACAAGAGAACCAGGTTGTAATTAGTCAAATTAATTTTTGTATCCACAGCACTTAAAAAAAAAAAGTGCCAAATGTACCCAAGACCCCCAAATTTGCCTACCTTTGTCATATTTTATATAGGATCAAATTATAGCTGATTGTTGATATTCAGCTACCATGAACAGGACCAAAGATTTCTAATTCAAGGTTTGAATTTAAATCAAATGGAGAGACAAGCAGCTGGGAATCATACAAAAATGAATCAGGCTATTTTCTAAATCACCGATTCAGAGCCCAAACTGAATCTCTTGGTTGGAATATGTCTCTGCATTTAAGGTAGATAAGGGTCCCTGAGTTCTGAATTCTACCTGAAAAATGTATACAATCACAGAAGATGGAATTCCAGGATTCTTAATATTGGATCAGATTGTGTGAGCTTGCAGAGTCTATAATAGTGAGGGCTACACATTTATTTTTGTTTTAAATACAGTTGATTTTCTTAGGCAAATTTTGTTTTATTTTGCTCATAGACCAAAAGGGGGAAAAACCCACCATGGTAAAACATAACATAACAATGAGCTATTAAGTTGTTTTTCTTAAGCTTCTGTGTCAGCATAGAAATAGAAAAGGCAATAGTTTTGTGTATGCAATATTGTCATTGAATCTGTAATGAAGTGAGTGGGAAAAACATGTTAATGCAATATTTTTAAAATAAAATATTATAAAAATAAAGTTTTGGTTTGTTTTTAGGAGTGGCCTATCAGTGGTGGAGTATGGAACCTAGGATCACAAACATATCCTGAAATTATTATTACAGGGTAAGGAAAGCATTATTACAAGATACTGGCTGTTGCAATAGGTGTGGGCTTTTTATTTATTGCTTAAAATTTTACTCCACCTTTCTTCACTAAGGGCCCTTAAAGTGTATAACAACCAAATATAAAATATAAAGTTAAAAAAGTAAAAAATAACTCATAACGTTTTTATTCCAAATCAAAAAGCATGGCTGAAAAGTCTAGTCCTGGAAGTTAATAAAACAGGGCTAGACAGCTCTGCGAATTCATAAGCAGATTGTTCCAATTTCCCTTTGAAACATAAGTGATATTCCAAGGGAATTGGGTGACTTAGCTATTAATAGGACTGTTGTTCCACTTAGTCTGCTGTAATGAAAAGCTGAAGGTGAAACTAGAAGTAGATCCAAGAAAACATGAGATCCAAGAAAACAACTGAGATAAGTTCAGAACTATTCAAACACCTAGGGCTGTGATAGCGCTGGGAAAAAATTCTCTCCTAGTATACATTTATATTATATTTCTCCTTAGGATCAAATTAATTTTACAACAGAAAGCCTCCCATGGAAAGTTTAGAACCATGGATAGCTTTTTGTGATGATTTTGCAGAATTTTCACCCAGTAAATTGTTCACATCTGCTCCGATGTTGTCTCCCTCATTGTACAAGAGTTTCAAAGGTATCAATATCCTCATCTGAGAAAAAAGTTATTGAATGAATTGTAGTTTCTGATATCCAAGAATACCGTCAGGACCCATGGCTCTTTCTCACACATCCTATCATCGCTAGTATCAGAGAGCTAAGAGAAATGTTTGGCCTATTTATTCTAAAGGAGGGCATTGTTTAGGTTTGTTTAAAAGAAATTATACTGAATCCATTTTTAAAGAAGCTTTCTGTTATTTTTGATGCTGTGTCATGTTTTAGCATCAAACAGGCTGTACATGAATATCTTCACTATTTTTTTGTGATATAAATTATCTAGACTCTTCAATTTAGCTTCTAGCTAGACGTAATGGGATGTGAGAATAACCTTGGGAGACAGGAGGAAGAGCCTCAACCCAGACAATGTTCTGATAAGAGAAATCTGAGTTCAAAGGAGGGATGGGAGTGGAGGAAGCATCTCAGAAGGGACCCTCCCTAGTTCTCTGGAAAGTAAAGGCAAGGGAGGGGAGAAGTGCTTTCAGACTTACAAGATTCTGTTACTGTAACATTACAATAAAGACAGTATTAGTACTCATGGTTTTGGCTTCCTGTCTGGGGTTGTTATATTTCACCAATAAAGTTTTTTGTTTTTAATCTCATCTGTTTGCCCCCTGCTAAACACAAACCCACACTCCACTTCCCACATTTTGCTCAGTGTCACCTCTTGTAACTTTTCAACTAGAATTCTGCTATTTTCCTAAGCACGCTTAACAAACTAATCCCACTGAAATTTTTGTATTAATTCTCATTTTGCATAGAGAAATATATCAGCACCTTCCAATTAAGAAGCATACAGTAGATGCAATTTTCGCTCACACATTAAACAGATCACATAGGAGCTCCATAAGCAAACCATATCCATGTTTTAACATGTTTCCAGTTACACCATTTATACTTACCATTTTTCAATATTCTCACAGCATTTGTGACTTCCTTTTCATCATTTTTGGATGCTAACATTTACAGTGCTTGTTTTAATTCCACTCTTCAACCTATCACTTTCATTCCCATTCAGATCTCTAAAATACTCTTTCCAGCATTCCCTCTCTAATCCAAAATTATTTCATCACTTTTATTTTTAATTCCATTCACTCTGCTGTAAGGTTCTTGTTTACTTTATCATCCAGTTTTCTAAAACAACTTTTTTATTTCCATCAAAATATTCTGTATTTTCTCTTCCTCTTTTAGTCTTACCATTCCTTATTTTAACTACATTCTTTGCAATATCTTTTTCTCTCCTTACATGGTATACCATATTGTTCTGTCATCCTGATTTTTTGCAGCAATCTCTTATATGTATTTTTCTTTAATTCATCACTTCTTTTACGTCGTCCCATCAAATATCTTTTCTCATACTTGTCATTACCATATAACATTTTTACACTTCTGTGGCACTTTGTAATAAAATTCTTACCTTTGTTTCAAGCAGCTTCCACGTCCTCTTTCCTTTTCTAAGCAGATACTCACTAAACAAGCACAGTTCTAATTAATTCTTAGGTCTCCAGATGACTCAGATACTGTACTATTGTCTCATTCCCACCCATGGATTCATTGTGGCTAACAGAATAATTATTCCCCCTGTGTTGTATTCATTCACAATCTTGTACAGTTTTACCCTATTATCGCTATTCACTGGAGCTCTAACATGGAACTAACACTAATCTATGGATTTCTACATCCATACACACCTACAACCCCAGTTTTATTCCAAGTATTCTCATTCTATGCAAGCTAGGATCTCTAATCTGGAGACTGCTTTACAAACCAACATACTGTTGCCCAGATCCCATCAATTTGGAGGTACGTGCACACAGAGTATATTAAAGATATTTAGCTCCAGTTCTTTTTCTCTGAACCAGGTTTAGTGATGCTATTTGAATCATAGGCTGACAGTGTGCTAAATGAATGGGAAATTAATCCAGAGAATGTAAGGTTGCTTGTAGTGGACTATTCAACAACAGAAGACTTACCTATTTTAAATTAAGTCTTAGGTCTGAAGAAGAGGGAGGCAACTTGGGAATACTCCTTGATGTAGTCTTTCTGCAGTGGTTAAGAGTGCTTTGGTTAATAGAGAGGAAAAATCCGCTCATGGATACAGTCATCTCTACTGGCTAGCAGTAGGTTACTGTCAGCCTTATCAGGTAGACCAGACAGGAAACACAACCAGATCAGCTAATTCTACTTTATTGTAAAGCTACATTAACAGAATATTGCAAGTCTAAAAGTGCAATTATCCTGCCTTCACCTTTACAGCCCAAGTACTTAGGGAAGGTCCCTTCTGAGCCTCTTGCTCCACCCACTATGTAGCTGCGGGCTATGCTGTCTCTTATTTGACCATTCCCTAGGCAGCATCTCTTCGCCCCATCTCCCAAGGTCTTTCCCACATATCTTTACAATTACAATAAAAATCAATGGGCAAAGAAATGCAACCAATGTTTGAAAAAGTCACTTGAGGACAGAATCCATTAAACTAGCTGGAGCTTTCTTCATCCACCCACCACTTCGCTGCTCTTTATCATTCTTCTCTTTAATTTCAGTTAGTGTAAGAAATCTCTCTTCTACAGTACACTGCAGATGAATTATGCAGCCACTTCTAGTGTCTATCATCCACCATATGAGAAAATACAGAGAAGAGAGGTAAACAGCACCCACATCAATAAAGTCCTAGTATCTTTCATTCTATAACAAAACTAGGGCTTCCTTCATGGTTCTGACAGGCATGGGAAGAAGAAAACCACTGCTTAGAACAGTGATGACGAATCTATGACATGTGTGTCAAAGGTGACATGCCAGCATTCACCAACACCCAACAACAACTATTCTCCCTGTCTGAGTTACCAAAGAAACTCAGTTTGTTTTACTCATATTTCATTTTTGTAATTATTTAACATTTCTTTATATAATACTGTTATATAAGTCTGTATTTTAAAAAAAATGAATTAATAAGTAAAGAATTGTTTCTCTTTTGTTTGGGCGGGGGTGACACACCAGCAGAATCGAACTAGGCATTTTCTGGATTTTTGACATGCCAAGCCTGAAAGGTTCATCGTCACTGGCTTAGAAGATCAAGTGTTCCCAGTTACTATAGATGGCTATTGAGGTTTGCCACCTGTGTTCTTACATCACAGGGACTGAGACCAAGTTCAGTCTTGGTAGAAATATATGATGATGATAATAATAATAATGTTGTTATATCGTGTTTTTAATTGACCTTTACTATATTCTTTTAAGTCATGCAGATGGATCAGTGAAATTTTGGGATGCTTCCGCCAGTAAGTTTTAAATTTATTCTGCATAATAAATGCATGTTACAGATTTGAAGAGGAGTGAATTAATTGCAGTTATTGAATCTCTTACTCAAACTACATGAAACTGGCACAGTATAATGAATTCCTGACAAGCTGTAGAATATTATTTAAAAGGGAAAAGTCATAGCAGAGTGTGAATAAGTAGAAATGAATAAGAGTTAAAGATGTATGCCTGCAAAGACACTAGAAATCTAACACTAGTTATTATGGCTTTGCCTTCATATGATCTTTTTTCCGATCCTGAAATTGATCATTAAGAGGCTTCCACTTCTGTTTAATTGCATATTCAAATGATTAATGAGCAATAGAAATGATTGAAAGAAGACTGGAGTACAGTACCTAGAAAATAGGCTGTTTTTCTCATTTAAAGGCGGGGTGGGGGGAGGGTTGCTGCACAAAGTGAAGCCCTTTGGGTCATAAGGAATCTCTTTCCCTTTTCCTGCTACCCAATTCGTCTGCTGCCCATCAGAAACAGAGTGCTGATTTTATGCTACCACTTAATGACTGAGTAGTGCAAGGGTAGATTCAGTATTATTTTGACTGTACAGGATGCCTAGTGCTGGAAGTTTGTTCTTTTTTACCTTTTTCTTTTTAGTAAGCACTAAATACCAGAGCTTTAGACTTTTTACACTGTGCCTATGTGTTCGATCAGTGGTCCCAAAATAAAGAAGGTAATAGAAAATACCAGATTGTAACAGTACAATTTCTTTCCACTTTCCATTTTAATACCAAAGAAATTTACTGGATGATTTCAATCTTTTCTAGTCACACTGCAAATGCTATACAAGTTAAAAACCTCAAAGATATTTGAAAAACGGAAGTTGGAAGGCAAGCCAACAGCAGATATGATAGAAGAGGATCCTTGTGCTATCCAGCTAATGTATTGGTGTCCTGAAAGTAGAATATTTTGCATAGCAGGTGTCTCTGCATATGTTATTGTTTATAGATTCAGCAAACATGAAGTTAATACTGAAATATCGGTAAGTTTGTATGAACGTTGCTTATATACTGATTTGCTTACATTAATATATTAAAAGTTTCTTTTAATCAAATATAGTTACCAATAAACATGGCTATGTTTACCATGCAGTGGTTACAGCTGAGAGTAGCAAAGTTGGATATGCAGCTGACTATTATGATTTTCCTATATATTTTAGACATCCAAAGGAAGGAAGCTATAATAAGCATATTTTAAAAGTGACTTGCATATGCTCTTGCATGGGAAGAATGTCAAAACAGACTCTTGAGCCAGCAGGTTATTTTGATGCTCCAAAATAATACTCACTTTCAAACCTACAAACTTTTAATCTGTTAAAACATTTTACTGAATGCTCCCATTTCTGTCAGCCAACTTTTGTTCTTCTGGATCTTTTGCTCAGAAGAACTTCTAACCTCCTTCCTCCTCATAAGCTTTTAAATCAAGAGAATTTGCAGTCTGGTGAGACTGGTGTTTATGAATTTGCTTTCTTTCAAGTACTTCTCAGCAATTCCTCACAAACAGCTCTAGAAAAAGTTGAAGGTTTGACAGCCCATAGGGAGACACAGCAGTTCTTTAAATCAGCCCATTTCTAGCCCTCCTCCTTGATCCCAACAAGTCTAAAGGAACCAAATAATTTTAAAGTCCAGGGCCCTTGCCAGCGGAAAGTGATGCCTTGGCTATCATAGCCCACCCTGAGACCCACTTCTGTTTGGGGAAATTTGCAAGTCTACCTTCCAGGCCTTCAATCCTCATCTTTTCTGGGTATCATAAGATAGGTTGGGAAACAAATTTTGGAAAAGGTATTTGCTCTTCCTTAATGTTTAGGTTCCTATTACTTATACAAATCTCTAAGGAACTGGAATCACTTCCATGTTCAGATGAGAACAGAACCATATATTCTCCATCTCTATTTCAAGGAATCTAGATCACAAGTCTCATATGGTACAGTAGGAGGGCACATCTAGGATATCTTCTTCCTCTGATCAGTGTTTCAATTCTGCCTTACAGTTGCCAGCCATTATAATTTTGATGGACTCCTCCAAATGTATAGCCTGGTTTGGGAGGTTTGCAGTTTCCCTGGCATGAGCTGACGTTCTGGAATACTGTGAAAGCAGATTGGCTTCACAATACTGAATCTATTAACTGTATTTCTGAATCTACAATAAGGACTCTGTGAAATGTATTTCTTTTATTCAGAATAAACACTGATGTTATAAACTAATCCGAGTTTTAATTTTTTAAAGTCTTTAGAGGTGCAACTTCAGAGTGAGATAGAAGATGCCATTAGTCCTGAAGCAGAAATTATGACTCCATTTGCCAGTGCCTCTTCCCGTTTTTCATCTTTAAAAGACCTCTCAGGCAATAGCAATACTTCATCTGAGCGAACAATGGACTGTAGTCCATTTCTCAGGTAAAGAATGTAGACTGATTTAAATGTTTTTTGTTCTCCCCTCTTTTTCAATATTTATAACAAAATTTCTTCAACATTTCTATCTTTTCTTTTCTGCTAAGATTGTGAAGCATTATGCATATTGATAGCTCTGTATAAATAGTATCTCATGAATTATTTTCTGTATTTGTGCTAAGAAATTGTTACATATTGTTGAAATAAGTCTAGTTGCTCACCATTGCTGTTATTAAACAGAAATTAATTTTAAACATCTATTAGGAGCCCCATGTAAGAGTAGGATACCAATATAATAATATTAAAAATAGATACATAGGATTCACTGAGATTTGATGCAACACAATGGCTAAGAATTTGCTACTCATTTAAGAATTGCATCTTTAGAATTGCACCTCAGAAAGGCTTTTAGAAGAAAGAGTATTAAGAAATGCTTTGATATCCAAAGCAGCAAAAAAAAAAGCCAAAGATAAATTTGTGTATATAAATGCACAGAAAATAGTATTAGTCAGGCTAAGGACATCTGTAGGGGTCAGTGTGTCAAAATCTGCAAAATAGTGCACATGTACAAAAGAGGGGGGCTTCAATCAAGATGCTGTGGCCATCCTCTTTCATACTTTAGCCACCCCTCCCCCACCTATCACAGACACCCTGAATCAGCTGCAGCCTCTTTGGTGAGCCAAAGAGATGGGCTGTAGTGCAAGATGCTGATTTAAGTGTACAGGTCTAGTTCACCAATATCCATGTTTGTAGAAATTTTAGGGGGAAGGTGCTCTTTCCCCATCTCTTATCCCTCTTTCCATGAAAAACCCACTATCCACCCTGTTTTATTTAGTGTGCATGAGTTCATTCCTGTTATCTGATTGCACCAATGTGGTGGTTTCCAGAGTCTTGTGCTGGCTCTCCAGATAGTCTTGATTTAGCCAGCTTGTCCTCCTTTTGTTCCACTTGTTCTCCACAACCTTCTGTTGTTGACAGACAACCCTTTGATCTCCCTGGGAAGAGTAACTTTTCCCCTTCTTACAGTATATTCAGTGCTGCTATATACAGTATACTGTACAGATTAGACAAAAAAACAAAGCAAAGACATGTTGTTTTCCAAAGCACCAAACTGATTATAAAGCTTTGGTAAAATCCCATTTCAGTTCAGAAAAACACCATGGAAAAAACACCATGGAGGCGCCCTGCAGTGAGATGGGCAGGGACAAATTTGAGATATAAGTACATACATACATACATACATACATACATACATACATACATACATAAATAGGAGTCTGGATTTGCTAATGTTTTGGTTGTGAGTGGCATGCCTTGAAAAGTGGAACGTACTGTTCCCATTATCTTCTGCTGTCTTTTGACTACCATAATCAGAGACTGGGGGGAATTTCATAGTTCTTCTGAGTTGCTAGGCCACTGTTTTCTTTTCTTAGCTCCATTCCTTGAGTATGTTAGCTGTTCAGATGTGCTAGCATGAGCACTCCCTCTGTTTGATTTATCTAGGAGATGGGAATATGGTAAAGATTGCCCTCAATATCAGGTCTTTATTAAGAAAGACTGTAGAAACCGTTCCTCTCATCTGAGGCTGTTTTTATGGGAAGAAGTGCTCATGTAGTAGCTACCAATGACCTGATATTGCAGTAAGTTCCTATCATATCTAGCCTAGCACACCACTCCACATCTGTTTGGGCTAAATCCCTAGGCCCATTGTTGGCAGCTGCTGCCACATCAGGATCAAATGTTCCTCTGAGCCCTGATTTATCTTCACACTCAATAGCCGAGTACAAGATGTCTGCCCAAATGTAAGAGAATGGTTGAGTGTGGGGAGGGAAGAGGAAGGGCAAGCTATGTTCTCCCAAGCAGTCTCATTGCTTTACTCTACCAGCCCTTCTTTTTCCTCCTAAGGAGACTTTGATGGCTTCTCAGCTATGCTAGATTCTCATGCTACTGATAAAGCCCAGCTTCTGAACTAAGGTTCGGAAAGAGGAATATATAACAGGTCACTCTGGACTGGAGCCCATATTATATTTCATCACTGATGTTTTCTGGAATCATAGGACCCATGACATTCTGATTAGCAAATTAGTTAGATATGGGCTAGAAGATTATGAAATTAATTTGTAGTTGGCATATAAGCTATGTAGTTTTCAGTAGCTCTGTTGGATACCATGGAGTTGATTGTTGGCCAAATATCCTGTGATGTCCGCATAAATAACATGAACTAGGTAGCAAAGGGAATGCTTCAGATTATATAAAATGGGGGGAATAGCTAATCTTCAGAAAACAGAAACAAAATTCAAAAGAATTTTGATAGTTTAGAAAAAGTGGAATGAGGTTAACAAAATGAAATTTGACAGACGTGAAGTTTTTTGCTTAAGAAAAAGAAAGCAAATAAATGTACAGATATAAGATATATAACTGAATTTCTTACCTCTGTTTAGTGCCACACAATTAAGCAACCATGAACAGCATTAAATGATTATTCTAGGTCTGCAAAATGAAGGAAGTCCTTAGTGCTCTTCAATTCAAGACTATGAAGTATGTCAGGTGATGATAAAAAATAGGGAGGTTGAAGAACTTTAATTTTGCTCTATTCCACGATGGGATGGTGAGTTAGGTTTATGTAGGTTAACAGGGAGTTATCATAGATGGAATTCTTGTTTTGGGTGAAAAAACACCATCTATTTTTAGTTATCCTTGCTTCAAGTACAGTATCAAATGAGACATAGTATCAAGATATAACACTGATTTGTTTTACACAGAAGATACTGTTGGAGACAATTGGGATCAGGCATGCAGTTGGGATGAGGAAATCTTTAATTAATCCCATTTACACACACTTATACACACTCACTGTTTCTTGCCAGCTCTTCTCCTTAGAAATTATACAAGAATACTTTATATTTCCCCCCAGCTAGTTTTCTTATCAGTGCAAATCATTTCTGATTGGGTAATCAGATCATTTTGATAATTGTTTCTTCTCTTCTTAGTGTGAAGACTCATGCTGTAAGAATGCCCCCTGGTTATCAAGCAGATCTTGTTATTCAATTGATGTGGGTAGATGGTGAGCCTCCTCAACAAATAACCAGCCTAGCAGTGAATTCAGCCTATGGATTGTAAGTTATCCCAGCATATTTTCACTTGGGTTTGATCAGTTTGGCTGGCTGGGAAGTGGGAAATCCAAGCCATCTTTAGAATGGAGATCTGCCTGGAACAAATAATAGAGCCTGTTCCAGGGAGAGAAGCGCATACTCCAAAGAGTTTGTCGTTTTGGGTGGTCTGGGCACAAAAATGGCAGAAAAGATGGGGCCAAGATACAGATCCCTATTGCTCCTCACAGTTTTATGTGAGATCCAAATGAAAGTGCTATCAAAAGAGCCATTTGCAAAGAATGAACCATAACAATCAAAGATCTGGTGATTTTTGGTACTATCAAAAAGCACAAACTTTGGATCCACATGGATGTTCTTGAGTTTTCTATCTGAAACTGTCAAACCATGGAGGAAGAAACATCACAGTTCTGAAAAACATTAAAGCCTGTGCAGTGTAAAATCAAAGGCATGGATTTCACTTTTTTCCCATGGGGGTCAGCCTTTAGGCTATCATATCATAGATTACTTTTACCATCATGGATTCATACAAAATTGTCATACATCTGGGAAATTTTGGCATACCACTGAACAAAAAACAAGTATCTGAAGCATCGATCTTCAATGACCTTCATGATTCACACATACATTTGTATGGTGGTACTATCACATCAGCTAAATCATGGATCTAAGAGGTATGAACCCTTGTGGATACTGTATATGGATTTTGACAGGACTTTCCCTCAAAATGAGCTTCAAAAGACAGATTGTATTCAAACCCCTAGAATGACTTGAAAGACCACCATTTCAGTGATTTATTGTGCCACTGGCACAATGTAGGGCACAGATTCTCATGGAACCTCCAATTTTTACACAGAATCTACTTGAATATGAACATCCATTGTCATGATGAGAACAGAAAAAATAATGAAAATATAGATACTTTGTATGAATCATCCATATATCTTGCCTTCCTAGTTCTTATGTCCCATTAAAAATTGCCTTTAAAATTATCAAAATGATGGACTCTATGCTTCATGGCACCACCATGAGAAAATGGAGTCAGAACCCAGACTGACTTGGATTCTCTGGATTTGCCGAGGTGATTATCTGAAAATGTCAATCAAATAACATTGTGCATCCAGGCAAATACCCCATGCTGTCTCAATGTTCCAGGTTCACCCAGAATCTTTGACATGGGTATGCCACTCACTGCATTTCCAGACTCCAGAATTTTAAGCAATATAGTTTAGAATGTCTGTAAATGCAGATGAGCAAAGAGAAGAGAATCTCAGGTCCATACACCTGAGGAAAAAAAAGAACTGCATTTTTATTTGCAGATCTCCCAAACCTCATAATAATGTACATTCACAATGACTGAAAAACAACAAAGCAACAACATATCTATTTCACACTGCGATCTATGAGACTTATTTCCAAATTTGTTTTTTTTTCTCTGTATTTACGTCCCTTTCCACAGGAAGTTCTAGGTGACATACATAGATAAGTCTGAGAGAGAGACCTTGGTCTTGATTGTTCATAGGATTGCAATGTATATGATAAAAGTATGTATTTACTGCATTGTTATACTGTGATGCAATGCAAAACAAAGAAGGAAAACTAGATGCATTAGATCATCTTATGTCTTCTCCTTTTTGAATTGTAATTTTGAAATCCATTTTTTAGTGACAGTTAACTTTTTTGACTAAACAGAAGAAATCCATATTCATGCTGATTATTACATTGTGAATTTCTCATCCAATGTATTGATTACTGCATTGATTATCAGAGGACAGTACATCATTAAGGAAACAAACCTAAATATCCTGCTGAGTTCATTAGTTTTCCATTCTGATTCTAGAGTATTTACTTATTTAAAAATGCCTTGCCACCTTTTTACATACATTCAAGTATCTCCTAAATACATGTGACCATGGTGATATTGTAGTTATCAAAATGCTACTAAATGTCCTAATGACACCTAAAACAAAACTCAGGTATAATAATTCTGAATAATTTGTTTATTTTGCAAGGAAAATTACACTTTGTGTTTATGCAACAATATGTGTATATATTAGTTCCTTAATTAATTAACTTTCTAGTTGTAATTATTGTAATAGTTGTAATTCAACTATTTATATATATGCCTTCAGTGTGGTTATCCATAAGAATCTGATACCTTGCATTAAGCAAGATTATTGTGGCCCTTTAAAGATTATATTATGACATTGACTTTTATGGACTAGAATTCAATTCATCAGAAACATGAAGCATATGATGAGTTACAACTCTCTTTTGCTTTCTGTCTCACACTCTGTCTCAGTGTATATACAAACAAGCACACAATTTAGGCTCAAGCTATCTATAGGCTATGTACTCCAGTAGAGGTGATATATGCTGTTAGATCATTTGTGGGGCACCTTTTACAGGTCTTGCCATGAAGATACATGACATAAATGACAAATTCTGCTTTCTCCACGGCAGTGCCCTTTTATGGAATGAATTGTCTCTGGAGTTAAAGCAAGCCCGCTCCCAATTACATTTTGGAGAGAAGTCAACACATTTTAGTATCCCAGGCCTTTTAAAGCCACTCCTTTGGCTTTTGTATTTTGTATCTATAAGGGTGTTTATTGTAATTAATAAGCACCCAGAGCCATAAAGGAAATTGGTGAAATACAATAAGTATCTAATAGAAAAATAGGATATTGCACACAACATGAAGATGGTAACATTTAATCCTTGACATTCACAGATATATTGCCTCTCAACATGATATCAGTTTGGTGTCATTGGAAAAAGCTGCTGGTTGTTATGATTATCCTTCAACAGGTCAAATTCTTTTAATAAACCTCCTTTGCTTGAGACCACAACTGTATTGTTGCAATACATAGTTCGTGTGAGCAAGAATTCTTCTTGCTTGCTTGCTTGCTTTTCTGCTTGCCTGCCTTGAGTCTGCTGCCCATTAGTGTAATTGGATGCCTTCAAATTAGAATGCTGTGGGTGAGGAAGAAAAATAATACTGCAGATTTAAACTCCAGAAAGGCAATTTCTGAATGAATATTGGGAAATGTACTAATTATGTGCTAATTATAATATACTCAAGTATGGGAATGTAGTAATCACATCTAAATTATAATGTACTAATTATAAGAAGACCTAGAAAGATGTCTTCAAGTATCAAGTTCAAGTATCTGTCATGGATGCTTACATTTGGATTTAATGCCCCTGCTGTGTGGAGGATGGACTGGGGAACTGGGATGCTCACATAAGAGCATAACATTGAGGTAGGTGGTGCTATGGAGCTCATACATTGCTGGGTTTTCCTCTCCCAAACTCCCTCTGGATTGCCACTATCAGACATCATTGTTGCATTTCTGTATTGGGCCCAGTTGATTTCCATCTTCTGTTAGCTACAGTTGCACTTAGAGTAGAGGATAAACTGGCTCTCCTACAAGTGGTAGGGAAGTCAGGAAGATCTGTTGTTTTGTTAAGGCTTCTCCCTGAAAAACAGAAATCCTCCCTTTTTGCTGGAGCATCCAATTTTTTATCCTTTTCCAAATCATCTTGTTTTCATCATCTGGTTACAACAAAATAGCTTATCTTTTCTGTGGCATTTTGATTGCTCTTCATGTATTCTTAAGGTGGACAATGTTTTTTTTCCTTCATGAACTAGCAACTGTCATTTTCTTCCCGGGTTCTACAGACAGCAGTCCTGAGGGGAAGCCCCTAAAACACTGAGTATGCGTACCTCCTGTCAAGAGGAGGTTAGTAATTGCTTCACTAGCCTAACCTGGACAAATATGCTTATATTATTTAAGCTGAGAAAGACAATGTTTAAAGGATCAGGTGCTGCAATTTAGCCTCCCAACTTCTGAAGAGCTGCAGGAGGTCCTCCAGTGATGATACAATATAACCTGAAGAAACATGGTCTTCTTCTTTGGCTTACTTTGGGAGTTTTAGGACTGGAGATGGGAAACGGAAGCCTCTCGGAGCCTAATTGCTCTCGTTCCCATCCTCACAAACATACTAAAAAAAAAAAAGTTACCATATGTGGTAATGCCAAAATTTGGCCATTTTGCTGCAGAATGTCAGTGGCCTGATCTCAGGGTACTACAAATGGGGTTCTGGGAACTATATGTGGCTTGTAGGCTATGAGTTGTCCACCCACCCATGGCTTAAACCAGCTCTTCTTGAGAAGCAGACTCCAGAGAAGCCTCTTCAAATGCTGCTAACATTGGAGCCTCCCTTTTCAGTCTCTGCCAGGAAACCCAAAGCTGAATGACCCACCATGTGATCTAGTTCTTAGAATGAGCTAAATTTAATTAATCTGATTTAGATGCTGCCTGACTCCAGATGATTCCAGGGGCTCACAGTATAAAAACAATGAAATACAACATGGATAATAAAAAAAATAAAAAAACCCAGGAAAAATAAAAACCAAGAACAAGAGTGAGATGCTGTTCCAGCCAACTACAAACAAAAAACATCCCACAAGGGGCTCCATATACCATAGCCCAAGGCCTGGCAGAACAGCCAGGTCTCTAAGGCCTTCAGAATGCCATCAGGGTGGGAGCCACATTGATTTCAGGGGAAACCTCATTCCAGAGGGCAGGCACTATAACAGGAGGTATGCTTCCTGGATGCTGAAAGATGACACTGTCTAATTGAAGGGCCCCAGGACACGCTGACCCTGTCAGCTCATACTGGCCAGACAGACACCATGGGAGATAGGCAGTCTCTCAAAAACTGGATCCTAAGTTGACTTCCAGTGTTGTCTTCCACAGTCCCATTGAGTTCTTGAGGAAGGTCCTCGGTGTCCTGTTGACTTTGTATAGTGCCAGGCATTCACAGATTCATGTGTGTGGCACTGAGTTGTAGGCTTTCCTGTAGTCAATCGTGCTTAGATTGGTCTGTCTTGACCTTGAGTCTCAGGCGACTGCTCTATCTATGAGCAACTGGTGTTTTGAGCCTCTGGTGATGTTCCCAATGCCCTTCTGAACTGTGCTCATGTACTGGCTCATATGGTCCCATAGCTTGACAGCTATGATGCCTGTTAGGACTTTTCATGTTGTGGGGGGGCAGGTTATTGGCCAGTAGTTGGACAGTGCTGTTCCCCTGTGAGGGTCTTTCATGATCAGCACTGTCCTTCCTTGTGTTAGCTAGTCTGGGTGGGAGCCTGCTGCTAGCAGCTGGTTCATCTGTGCTGCTAGGTGTTCATGCACTGCTGTTAGTTTCTTTAGTTGGTAGGTGCAGATCATGTCTGGGCCAGGTGCTGTCCAGCTCTTCATATTCTTGACCTGCTGTTGGATGGCTGCTACTATGATGGTGACTGGGGTTCCTGTTCTGGGAGTTTGCTGTGATCTGCTCTCAGGTCCTACAGCCACTTTGCACTGGTGTTATGTGTCTTCCCTTTCTTCCATATGTTCTTCCAGTTCTGTTCAGCTTCTGCTATTGGTGGTTCTGCTGTTACTGTGTTGTTGCACTGAAGTTGGGAATATACTTTGGAGAACAGGACATTTAACTTCTTGGCCTCTGCTTCTCTAGTGTATCTCCTTAGCCTGATAGTCAGTGCTGTGAGCCTTTGTTTAGCAATCTCTAGGGCTTCAGATGGAGTCAGGCCCTTGTATTTTTTCAGTAGCCGAGTCTTATCTTTAATCTTCACAACCGTCTGTAGTTCCACTAGCTGACTAATTTCTCTCCAAGTTGCCTTGATCTTAGCCTCCAACCTCATTTTCCGGGATGGGGGGTATTGCTGTTCTTCTTGATTGTGTAGCTAAGCATCCCTATCTAAATATAAGTCCATTTTCTACTTTTAATTTAGTGCTAAAACAAAAAATATATATCTTGTATATTCAAGGATATTGTATAATTCAATTTTTTGGAAAGAAAAACTATGGAAAAGAAACTGGATGATTACTAATGGAGGATTTTATTGCCTGGATTGGTTGTTGTATTTCATGGACAAAGCAGAACAATTTTGCATTAAACGCTTTATTCAGGACCAAAGAATGATTCCTCTGTCCCAGCACACTTCCTCCATACTTAGGCTCTCCTATCACGAATGCCATACCTACAAAGGTTTGGTTGATTGATTGACTGATTATGTGCCCAAATTAAATGGGACCTATGAAACATAAAAGAAAGTGCTTGACTTTGATATTGTGTTTTGATAGGCATGGCTATATATAATGGCAAGGAAAGATTTGCTGGCATATGTCCAGATATAATGAGAGATGATTCAGTTTGATTTCCTGTCTGTGTCAGTCCTTCTGGGTAGACCAGATCAGGAAACAGACTCATTAAAAGACTAGAACTACACTTTATTGAGTGGCTGTAATAATGAAATCTTGCAAGCCTGATTGTGCCTTACCTCTCCTCCCTCTTATATCCTAGTGAATCAGGGAGGAGCCTGCCTGCATCTCTTCTGAATACTATCTTGTTTCCCAGGACTTAAAACACGTTTCAGCCCTCTTTGCTTACATAATGGTTCTTGTCCATTTCCCTCAAGGTTATGTCCCTGGGTTTCTACAGTCTGTGTGAATGTTCATATCAGTTTACAAGTGCAGTTCAATTAACAGTTGTATTGCAGTGTGATTCCATATGATTATTTCCCTTTGTTCAGGCATGTGGCTGGGAATTAGCAAAAACAAGAGGAATAAGCATGTGAAGAGAAAGTAGGACATACAGATAGTCCTCATTTATCAACCACAATTGGGACTGGCAACTCAGTCATTAAGTGAAGTAATTGCCAAGTAAAACCACAACTGTGCTTATCATCTTACTTCAGCTTTCCTTTGCTTTACAGACCTGCAAATGTCATAAATGCGAGGATTGGTCTCAATGTTACTTTTTCATCACTGTGGTAACTGCAAATGGTCGCTAAATGAAGCAGTCACTAAACAAGGACTATCTGTATATGAATGCCTCTTTGTTTGAAATATGTTCCAGTTTTATTACTTGAAAGAGATAACTCCAAAATACTTAAACAATATTTCTTTTCACAGAGTTGCATTTGGAAACTGCAATGGTTTGGCTGTTGTAGATTTTATGCAGAAGACTAAACTGCTGAGCATGGGAAGTTTTGACCTCTATGGATCAAGTGATCCCTATCAACGCCAACCTCGTTCTCCTCGCAGAAGCAAGCAGTTTAGTGGAGGTAGCAGACAAATGCAGTAAAAATTAATTTGAATAACATTTAATTTTATGGCCTGCAATTATGTTAATTAGGAAAATATACGTTGGCTAGTTAGGAAAATATAGAGAGCAGATAGCTGTATGAAAGACTCTAGCAGACAATTAGCTAAATACTAATGAGAGTAAGAGTGCAAGATTATGACAATTTGGTTTGGCTTGACTTAAAACCTTGCTTCTTATGCTTCTAATAAGAATAAAAATGGCTCTTGCTAGATTAGAATGAAGGCTTACTTTATATTCTGATTCCACAATAGCACATTAAATGTATAGTTTTTCCAACCTGAGCCCTCCAGTCATAATTCAGCAACATGGTATATTACCATTTTGAAGTGGAATCACATAAAACACATAAATCCCAAGATAAGCCTAATATTGTTTTATAAACACACATTCCCCACAAAACTTCTCAAAATTTAGGGAAAGAATTAAAACTTTGATCTCACCCATTTTGCATCACCACTATTTGCCTCTCCAAAACATGCTAAGTGTGGCTGCTAAGCACTGAACGGTTGTCCAGCCTTGTCCTAAATGAGAACAGTTTGTAATGCCACAGGTTAAAGGAAGCCGTTCTTACCCAGCAGCTGATAATAATAAGCAGCCACTTTGGTTGTGCCTTCTAATTTTTCCTTCAACTTGGCAACAAAAAGAAATAAGATTTTTGCTATATAGTTGCATGGCATTTGTTATATGTTCTAAGATAAGACTGCAACATAGGAAAAGGAGGGAAGCAGAGGCTCCATTAGTTTGGTGAAGAAGGCCACTCCATCAGTATTTTCCTAATCGTTACCTGTCATCCAGCTACAGCTAAATTGGTTCTTTTTCTCCTTGTCAGCCCTTTGAGGTAGGCAAGGTCAGGAAACAGCAGTCACTAAAAGTTTTGAAATGTGGTTTAATGCAGTTAGGGTATTGTAACAGAATCTTGGAAGCCTGTCAAAGCCCCGCTCTACTTTGGCTTGTACCTAATACAATCAAGGTGCAGCTGTTTTGAGTTTCTTTCTCACACTTTGTACTTTCCCAGGACTTAGATATATTTTCTGTAATGTCTTGACATTGCCCCCCCTCCATTTCTCTGAGTCAAATTCACATTCCATCGCATTCCGTAAGCTTTTTGTACCCAAGAACTGAGTTTATTTTTTCACTTCTAACTGACTAACAAACTGGGCAAACTTCATGCTGGGCGTGAACTATGAATGGCTGTTATATGTTATATTAATCTGGAATATATTTGAACACCATCAACTGCTTCCCATTACAGAGGATTTATTTTTATTTTGGATTTATGGTGGATTTATTCTGGAAAACCATTAGAACATCTCTGAAATGGAAGAAGAGCAGAATGTTCCAGACATCCCTGAAACATTCCGTCTTTGTAAATAAATATGTCAAACACATCTGTGGCAAAAGCTGCTCTAATGATACCCTTACAGTGCAGGGAGGATTGTACAAGAGTAGATGTACAATCTGTGTCAGACTTTAACACCATTATGAGCACCTTGAACTGGACTGAGAAAACATCCAGCAACCAGTGATGGTGTTTCAGCCTGAGAATAATGTGGGACCTTAGAGAGGCATCCTTCGGCACCATGCTGCCACATTCTGGTCTAGCTGTAATTTCTGGACTGTCTGCAAGAGACATCCCATGAAAAGTGCATTGCAATAATTTATCCTTTATGTTACTGGTGCATGAGTCACTGAAACAGGTCTCTCTCCTCCAGATAGGGATGCATATGATGAACCTGAAGCTGATAAAAGGCCCTTCTTCCTACCAATGTTATGTGATTGTCCTGAGAAACTTCACCAGAACAGGCATGTCTCCTTGTTCAACCCCTGGAATTAGTAATAGCTACATCCTGTCTGAGTTGAGATTCAGCTTATTCTCCCATATCCAGTTCTTTATGTTTTGGAGAGATACATAGATTGTGGACACAGCAAATCCTGAGTTTGCAGAAAAAGAGAACTCTAGCTGAGTGGTGTCAGCATATTGGTAATATCTTCTTCCAAAGCTATGCATTTTTCTTCTCAGTGGTAAAGATTCTATACTATATGGGAGACAAGAGCTTGGGGGACTCCCTAGCTTTGTTCTTAAGTAATCAAACAGAAGTTTATCATTACCAATAGCACCCAGAGAGGTAGCAACACAGCACCACAAAGAAGCATCTCCAGGCTGAATAATTTGGTGGGCAGTGTATACCAACAAAATCCCTCTTCTCTTTCTGTGGCTTAACTGCAGGTAACAATGCTTACAACCAGTACCCAAGCTCATTGATTTCCTAATGATAGATCTGTAAAATTCTACAAATGGGCATAATCTTTTCTCTCCAGTAAAGAAGAGCTCCCTCCACCACCCCTTTGTTCTTTATTCAGCCAAGACTCAATGGTGCACAGGAAGTCAGTTCCTGAATCCAAAATTGTGTTCTAGTTCCTTGTTTCTTGAAATGTTCAGGTATCTCTTAAATTTGGTGGCCAGGCTGCTAAATATTATTAGTATTGTTTCCACTTTTTCTATAGAAGAACAAATCCTTGCAATTTTTTTTTTTCCATTTAAAAAGTTCCTTACTGCATATGTTTGTGGGCAAAAACCTATTACCACAGATGTCCAGTCACTACTGTCTCAGGGACAAGAAGCCCTTATGAGTTCTTCAGGCTGGTTTCTATTATTTATTTTAAAAATTAACATTTCACCCTATAGTCCAAGTCCATCGAATTATATCCAGTGATTGAATTCCAGTAGCAAAATGACATTAATTGCCAGAATAGATTTGTACAGTGTTCCATGCAAATACTTAAATCTGTTCTTGTGGGTTGGGTACACCCTAGAGTAGATGTGTGTATGTGCACATTCAGACTTGCAAGATCCTGTTACTATTGATGTTCTAATAAAAGTAGCTTTAGGTCTGCACAGTGTCTGTTTCTTCATTTGGTCTGACATCAGTCTTGAAAGTCCAAATGTGCTTCCTTTCCTTCCTCTTTTATCTTCATGTGAATTGGGTGGTGGAGAGCTTCTGAGAAGTTTTTGCAAATTACTTTCTTGGCCTGGACTCAAATTTTGTTTATCTGATCATTGCCTTGGTAGTGGATCTTCTCTCTGTCCCTTAAGGCCAACTTCTTTATTCACTACAGAATGGAAAGGGAAAGAGAACAAAAGGAAGCTCTGTTGAGTGACAGTCTGTTTGTGTAATGTTTATATTTCACATTTGTCACTACCTATCTCACTGGAAGCGACTCTGTTGTTGGTTGCAACTCATTATTAATATGTTCTAATTTAATATTTTAATAGGTATCACTGAGTTATCAGATGGTCCATTTCCAATGGAGCTGGAGCAGTGCAGGTCCCCCACAGCTTCAGGTAATTGTTATTTGGGGGCTAGTTGCCTTTAGATCTAATGCCTCAGAATTTAAATTTGAATTTAATCTTGCTACCTTAGAATCTTGAAATCAAGTCAAAACATGGCTGAGTTGTACTTCCTTACAAATAGTTTTCATTCTGGACTCATGTAGAAAATTCACAGATATATTTACCATCATGTCTCTCAAAATGTTTTAGAACCACCCCCTTCTCCTCTGCCAACAGAACTAAACCCAGACCACTAGTTCATGACTAACCTAGTGGGAATTTGAGTATGTTGGTTCCTGAGACAGATGGTGGTGTGTAAGAGCCCTCATAAAGACTGGTGGAATAAGGCAAATCTTTCCTAAGGGAAAAACTTGTGAAGCCAGTCCCCCACATACCCTCAGATGTAGAGGGCAGGGTGTAGATGTGTAGAGGATCAGCTTCTGACCTTTGTTTTCTGAAGGTCTTCTTAGGCACTCAAGATGTCTAAGCAGGGAAGCCTATTCTTTGTGCACAGGCATCTGTATTAGCTTCGTATTAAAATCAATCTTACCTTTATCTTTCTGAAGCTAAGGAGCCTAGCTTACCATTTATAAAGAAAGATAGAAAGGTATGGTTACTGGGGATGGCCAAGAATAGGCAAAATTAAGATTTTCTTTGCCTGAATGTTATGCCCTACAGCATGTCAGCAGCCTAGTTCAGCTTCACATGAGTAATTTCTCTTTTTTTTAAACAAACAGTTGATGTGAGGGGTCAAGCTGGACCAGGAACCATGACACGCAGAAGGGAGTTTAATTCTTTCTGCCCTCCACAGGGATGACTGCAACCAGGCCATATTATGCCTGTGTTTGCAATAAGAGGAAATTTCCGGTGACATGTTGTACTGTGAGACTGGCTTCAAATGCCTGCCTGCCCAGTATAAAATGAGGAGTGTACCCAGTTGACTTAATCTACAAAGGGGGGATTATTAAAATAACTAGCTAAAACAAATGCTATTTGATATTTTGATTCAGAATTAGTTAATGGAAATTAGAAATGAAGGCATTGTGCCTTTAAATTGGAAATGAAGTCATTATTAAAGCATTGTGCCTTTAAAAATTTGGATACATTTTGTGGTTTCATTGGATGAATGTAAACAGATGTCTGTTTGCAGAATTAAACTTTCTTCTTGCTCCCCATTGCAGCCCTGTGGCTTTCTAGTCTGGATCTTAGATTTTGAGGCCATGTTGGGGGAAACAGAAAATTGTTCCCTTCTAGTTCTGTTGACTGTTAATAGAAGCAGCTCCAGCAGCAAAACATTGCACTGGGGTTTAAACATTGTATGTTTGTTTAATGTTTGCTTTCTTTATATTAATTAATTTTGTTAGTTTGTCTGGACTTTGTATCTGAACTGCTAAGAAGCAGTAGATAATTGTGAACCCCACTCAGGTGCCTATTAGGGGTGTTGGGCTGGCTCAACTTTAGAACCAAAATAATGGTGATAGAATGCTCAAACAAAGGTTATGAAGTTTTTATTTCTTTTTCTGAGTGCCTCAGAAGTAACGTTTGTTACAATCACTCTGATGGACATGTAATTCAGGAGTTGGAACATCAGTTAAATGCTTTGGCCTTGTCCTGTTGTTGTGTTTGGGCTGCCATCAACCGGACTGTTAATATGACTCTGGAGCAATCTCTGAATGTTCTGGAAATGCGCAGCTATTCAGATCTGAAGCTGAAAAGGTGCTTCAGAGGATGCAAGGGCACACCAGAGAGAGGCACGATGGTCTCCAGAAAACATACATTTAAATTAAGAAGGTGCTACTTTAACTATGTCTTGAATGAATTTACATCTGTTGGCTCCAAAGAATAAATATGGTGATATAATCTATATAAATTTCCTTCAAGTCATGCTTGATTCCTATTATTTTATGGATATATCCATTTTTTCAACCTTAGCAAAACAGAATGATTTAAAAAAGAAAGATGTAGTGGTTGACTCTAATCCTGATTCCAAAAGATTGATTTGTATATACATTCAACATATAAAAACATAAAACAATAATGGGCTGTAGCACCTAAAATGTAGACCACTTAAATTGTAAATTTCACCCATGCACACACACACGCACATACACACAGAAAAATTTCTCTAATATTAATAACATATAATTAAAATATTCATATAAAAACCAATTAAGCTGTATTTTATACAACTATATAATTTGCAACATGTTTTATACCATGAAATTGCAAAAAGTTTTGCATCAGACCTTCTATAATTTTTGAACAATAGTTTGGTATGCATTCAAGGTACAGATTATTACAATATTTCCCATGTAATAAGAAAGAGAAATATTAATGTAAATTTTGTTAATGGCAACAGATTCAAATAAAGTTATTCTTTTTCTGTAATTGAAAATTTATGTAATATAATATGTTTTGTAAAATTCTATAATGCCTAACTTTTCTAGTCTTGGTAGAACATAGTAAATAAATCACAGTAAATAGACAAATATTCTCAAATGGCAGTACAATATTTTAAAAAATATCTGTGAAGCTTAGGCAGTTCTCAAATAATTGCAGACTTTGTAGCAACCTCTTTTTGATCTTAATGAAAATTCTAATGTAATCTCATGACAGATTCTGCAAATGGACACTATACAAATCCAACTTCCCTAACTTGCAGTTCTGGAAAACGGCTGTCCAGTGCCGATGTTTCCAAAATCAACCGTCGAGTTCCTGGAAAGCCTCCATTTAGGAAAGCACAGTCTGCTGCTTGCATGGAAATCTCTTTGCCAGTCACAGTGGAAGGCAAGTATCAAAGGACATCTCCATTTAGACATTTCTGTTTTCACTTTTCAAAAAGATTTAATTACAGTCTATGTATGAATTAACCATGACCTTGTAGTAGGGTTCTAAACTGTTGTTCTAAAGCAGTAATCATGTAAGGAATTAAAAATTAATTAAGTCTGAGAAGTTCTGCCTTAATGAGAGAGATACAGCTACTCTAACAAACAGAATCCACAGACTGACTTGTCTGTAGCTGCTGAATCTTCTTTTCCCCCTTTCTGAAGATAGGGGCAACTTTTGCTCTCCTCCAGTCATCTGGCCCTTCACCAATTCTCCAGGATTTCGTCAACGTAATAAATAAGGGTTGGAGTTTCTATCATCTTGAGCTTCAGTCATGCCCCTTCATTTTGCTCTTCACAGATGCCTTTTGTTGGAGAAGACTGAGCCAAAATAGGAGCTGAATGGCTCTCTCTTTTCTAGCAATTTGCAGCCTTCATTAAGTACAGTGGTACCTCGAGTTACGAACTTAATTCGTTCCGTGACTCTGGTCACAGCCTGAATTGGTTGCAACCCGAAGCAAATTTCCCCATAAGGTTCAATCTAATTACTGTTAATCCGTTCTGGCGTGGAGGACAGGGAGGCGGCTATTGCTTGGAGGGAGAGTCCCCCTCCCTATGACCACATGTCAGGGGCGGAAAATGGTCGCGGACCACGTGTCAGGGGCGGAAAATGGCTGCAGACCACGTGTCAGGGGAGGAAAAATGGCCGTGGACCACGTGTCAGGGGCAGAAAAATGGCCGCGGACCATGTCACAGGAGGGAAAATGGCCGCGTATCCTGTTCGTACCCCAAGGCAGAGTTCGCAAACCGAGGCAAAATTTTGCGGCCAGAGCTGGTCGTAAGCCGAAAAGTTCGTTAACAGAAGCGTTTGTAACCCAAGGTTCCATTGTATCTGCTACACTATTTTTCTTTTTATTTAAAAGCCTTTTTGTTATTCTTATCTTTTACTAACCTCAGCTCATTCTGAGCATTAGCTTTAATTGTACTATCTTTCTAGTTCCAGGCCTCCTTGGTGACTTCTATGTTCCTTGGTGACGTCTATGTGTTCTCTTGTTCTTTTTGATTTCTTGATTTGATTTCTTTGCTCTTGCTTTTATAAAATTTAATTATTTAACAGTATCATTTTATACTTACTCCTCTAAACTGTCAAGCCCCAAGCTTTGGACAAGATGGATGATCTGGAAATTATGCAACAAGTTCTTAAGATACATCTTCGTTTGCTGCACTTTTCTGCAGTGAACACAGTGGGCCTGCTGTGACCTTGGAGAAGGAAGACAGTACTAGCAAAATGGAAGGAAAGGAAGGAACATTAGAAAGAAACTTGAACTGACCCTGCCTTAACTCTCTTTGGTACAGGAGGGAGGAAGAGAGGGAGGGAAAACACTGTCAGGCTTTCAAGATTCTGTTACTACAGCCTATATCAATAAAATAGAATTCCAGTACTGTTTGTGGATCCTGTTTCCAGACCTGGCTTACCTTGAAGGGCTGACACCTACAGAGGGCCTAGAGTTGACTCTAAGTTCTTGCCAATTAAAAGTCAATTTTTTGACTGAAAAACTTCAAGAATGGATATTTTGGCAGGATGCCAGCTATGACATGGACTATTCAGTAGCTTCATTTCAATAAATGGCATAGCCTTTTAAAATAAAAAACCTAATTAATTCCAAGCTGTCACAGAGCTGAAGTCCCAAACCATAGCTACTGTATTCCTAGATTTGATGAATGAAGAATACAGCTGGCAGAGGATACTCATTATTTCAGTCTTAAAATTCTGTTCTACTGGATTAAGAACTTGGGGCATTTATGGATTTATCAAAACATTTATCTACAACGTTTTCAGTATAGATGATTTGAAGGTATATTCTCTATAGCTGATAACTTATTAATATAGTTCCTATTTAGTTCCTACTTTTCCCCCCCCAATAATCTGTGAGAGTTTGAACATTTATAACCATATTGGAGAAGAGAGAGGAAGAGATGTTCACAGAAAATACACCTCCAGTTAAAATATTCTTTCAGCTGGACAACAGCAAGACCTTAGCTTGTCTTGGTAAATGGCAAATTCATATGTTAATCTGTTTTATTTTCCTTCAACAGAAAACAGGGAGAACTCATTCAGCCATTCTCGAAGTTCTAGTGTTTGTAGTATTGACAAAGAGTCTAAGGAAGCAATTACAGCTTTATATTTCATGGAGTCATTTTCACGGAAAAATGACACAGCGTTGTCTCCTTGCCTCTGGGTTGGAACAGGCCTGGGTATAGTCTTGACTCTTTCCCTTCACCTTCCCACTGTTGATGAATTAAGGCAGACAGAACCAGTAACAATTTCTCTAAGTGGTAAGAATTTCAGATGTCTGTAGTTGCTGAAATATGCCAATTAATATGAAGACTAGTTAGAATATGTCTTTCCATGTTCTTGCTCTGGGCCTGTTAATTAAAACAGAAAAGAAGAAAGGAGAGGCATTAGGATATCTGTACTGGCCTCTGGGATTGTCCCTGTCTATACTACAGAGGGGTGTGTATGTGTCTATATGTGTTTGCATGTGTATGTGTAGTGGGGGAGTAGGATCATCTGAATACCTGCAAAAGTTTGTATCCACACTGAAAATAATGCAGTCTGTTTCTGCAGAGGTCTAATGAAATTGAGATTTGCTCTGGAAAGGGTAGTAGAAATGGGAGCAGATTGAGTGGGAGATACACCAGTGGTCCAGCCTTGGAAGCATATGTCACACTTGCCTGGGATGGGATCCAGGCCCCCTTTGCATCCCACCTAGAAGCTCTCCTGCCCCCAGACATACTGGTCATTTATTTTGTATTCAGTACATATTGATTCATCACCCATTAATTCTTGACCCTACCTCCTTTTGTTACCCCATGCTTCTTAAATCACCCTTTCTCCCTGCATTCCATCTACTCTTCTATTTCTCCTGACATACCGAACTCCCACATGCAGTGCCATAGCAGCATGATGCAATTCCTTATGACAGTTATTTTTTATTTCCTTGCATTAATAAATCACGTATCTATGCCAATAATCACCCTGCCCAATTGCCTCTATTCAGAATGATCAACACAGCAAGGGTTACCCCAACAGTGGGTGTAAAAAGACAGGGCAGCCAGCCAGCTCCCTCACTTGACAACAAGAGAATTGATAAGATGTTGGACAGTATGATGGTGTGTTATTGGAGAAGGATGAAGTCTGGAAAGCAAAACACATCTCAAGATTCTTCTGTTTCTCCTGCTGGCAGCTTTTTTTCCAGGCTGCTTTCAAAAGGTTGCCCCAAAGGTTGTCTGGTTTCTCTGCTCTTTCAAAAGTAGAGTTCCCAAAGAGCCCTCAGAGTAGCCAAGAACCTCCCTTGCTATCTGTGATGCTTTGCCAGAACAGGAACAACCCTGCTATAATTTGTTTATGTTCACCACATGCCTAGAATTGTCTCTTCCTTTCCTCTCTGGCATAGGCAGTAAAAGTTCAGAGAAAAAGAATGAACTGTAGCTCTGATGTTCCCAGCAAATGTAATGTAAGTTTTTGCCAAAGCCTGAGTGTACTGCACATTATCAGGAGGGGAAGAAGATTCAGACTTTAGATCTGTGACATGGTTACTATTGCTAAAAATTAACATACCTTAAAATTGTTTGAACTAGAAATCCATTCTAATTCTTACTCATATGTAACTGAAACCTAATCCTGTTCCTGCTTAAACAGGAATACCTCTAGTTTGGTTAGAACTTCATTTGCTCTAACTCAAGCATCTTCCTAATGGTGTCTATAATGTTAGCCATTTCATTCATAATTAAACCCAATTCATCAGTGCTATTCCACAAGATCAGACCTCTTTCAGTCTGATGTATTATATTCTTCCCCCAGTTTTTTTGTTTGTTTGTTTAGTTTCACAGATGCACAACCTCCACTACTTTCGTCAATCAAGGCATTTTAATAGCACAATGAAGTTGCTAGCCTTAGTCATGCTCATGCCACATGCAGCATTCCCTGCTAATGGTAAGGACAGCATGCCAAAAGCTCAACCAAAGCCCAGCATTCATGCTATTTTATGCAATCTAGAGGCAAGACAAACCAGGATAATATTGCCTGCATCTCACCAACGTGAAGGTACATGCAGTGTCCTGACATACTCTCAGGATACCTCTGAGTTTCAAAGTAAAAAATACATAAATCTCAGAGACTTATTTTCCTGAGCCCATGTGGAAAAAGGCACAACCTCTTACAGGAACTGATGAGAGTACAACATATGTTCCCACACCAGATCCAAAGAAACTTTCCCATTTCAAATGCTCCCCTGTGTGAAACAAACATGATATCAGTATGTTAGTTATAATACAAATCTTCCATATAAACCCCCTTTCTGCAAGGTGGCATCCTTTCTCATATACTGGTTGCAGCAGAAAATCCACAATAACTTAAGTCTGAACAAATACTCTTTTTCCCAGGAAGAAGCAAAAAGGGCCAAGAATTCCAATACTTTAGCTGGCAGACTTTTATATGAGCCTAGTCATTCATCGTTCTCTATAAGATTAGATATTGGATATTAAAAAAAAAAATCCATGGCATACCATAACAAAAAGAAAAATGCCTCACTGTCATTACAAATTCATTATTTTAAACTTGAGTTTTAATTAAAGTTAGCTGCTTTTTTAATTAAAAAGAATTTTGCACAACTCTGAAATGAGCTTCTTGAATGAAGTTCATTGATATGTCAAAGATGAAAGTGACTTCTTTCACAACATAACATTCTATTTAATGTTGAAATCAGCAGAACTCTGGCTTGAAATGTCAGGAAGCCACTAGAAATGAATTTGTACTTAATTCATTCCAGAAAACATAACATTAATTCAAGATTATTTTTCCATCTATAAGAAATATGAGGGGGATATACTGAGAAGTTGGGGATGGGGAGGGAATTCCTTGACCTGGTTGAGTAGAGAATCTCTTGATTTAGAGGTCTGACCCTGTCTTACAAACATTATGTCAATTATATAAGCTGGAAAAAGGTCTGTATGTGTGGGTGTATGTGTATGATTGTAAAACACAGCTGATACATACTGGCACCAGTACAAGTGGTTCAGAGATTAATAAATCATATGAATTATGTTTTATAGGTACAGTTCTATCACTAAAGGGAGCAGTACTAACCTTTGCTTGTATGGACTGCATGGGAACATTAATGCATCCTCCCTATGAAGCATGGAGAGATCCAAACGCCACTGAGGACAGTGAAAGAAGAAAAAAAAGGAAACTTGTCCTTCATTCTGCATGCTCCCAGAGCACAGGAGATCACCAGTTTGCCATTATCTGCTCAGAGAAACAAGCCAAAGTATTTTCATTGCCTTCCCAGATATGCCTCTATGTTCACAACATCACAGACACATCATTATTTTTGCGAGCAGATGCGGTGACCCTCTGTAACAGTGTTTGCTTGGCATGCTTTTGTGCCAATGGGCATATCATGATACTGAGGTACTTGATACCATTTCATGAATGTAAGCCATGACCCTTTCTTGCCACACACAAGCCTTGAAGTGAAGAGGAAAGTGGCACTCTTGGCTAACTGCTGAACAGTGAAGTCTATGAGGTGGTGGTAAAGATCGATACCTCCAAAGGAGGATTCAGAGGAGATTCCGGTCAAGATAATGCTTTAAGAAAATACATATACACACACATGTATCAAGAACCCCAAATACCATGCAATTTATTTTCTCAAATTTCACCTGTCACCTTATAATATAGCTAGAACCATCAAAGTGATTTCTAGACCTCTTTGGGGAAATTTCCTGTATATTGATCCTGCCAATTTCAACTTCTGATTGCTTACTTGTTAACCTTGGAAATTATCTTCACAACTCAGATTATTGCATCTAGAGGTCTTCTCCCAAAGAATAGAACATATAACTAAGCAAAGCTTAAATCATCCATCCAATTTCTTAACCTCCCTCCCATACCCAGGCAAATACACAGCCAAAGATTTCAGCCCCAGCTACCTATCCTAAACAGTGCATAAACAGCACGTGCATCTCTCAGGCTGAAGAAGATGGCCCATCTATGTCCTTATGGCGACAAAAGTACTCTTTACATTATTCAGTTCTTTCTCTACAGTTAGCAGGGCCTGGTTGAGTCTGAATGCAATTTCCTTGCTCTCCTTGGTGGCTCACAGAAACAACTCTATATGCAAGTTTAATTCACAAGTGTCAGAGAATTCAGCTTTGCTTTGTACAACATTTGGGTAATATAATCCAGGAATTCGAACAGAAGATGACCCCTTACCTGCAATTGCTTTTCTAATCTAATATTGAGGTTTATAACTTAATGGTGATAATCCTATCGCATTTAATAAGACATATTCCCAAATAATTATTCATAGATCTGCAGCCTTAGTCATTTTGATTATATTTAAATGCCATGGTTTTATGTTTGTTTGCTTGGATCATAGCTGTGAAAATATGGCAGACATTATGCACTGCATACAATATTGTGTTTAAAAGCTCTATCTATAGAATCTACCTATTTATTTTCAGTTTACCCAGCCTCCGCTCTCTGCTAGATGTGAATTACCTGCCTGAAACAGATACGAGGATTGCCCGGACCTTTTGTTTTACCAATGAAGGACAAGCTTTGTATCTTGGTTCTCCAACAGAAGTCCAACGACTGAACTGTAGCCAGGAAATGTTTGACAATCTGCAGGTGGGTCTTGAAATATGACAAATACAGCTTCTGTGCTGTAAAAGCTCAACACCAAAAAGCAAGTCTGATCCCTTGAATCCAAAGTGGCTGAGCTGAAGATGATTTGAGAGTGTGAGAAGACACAGACAATATTTTCTGTGACATGATAGTTTCATCTCTCTCCCAAGATGACAGCCCATTTGCTGCCAGGAAGAATGAGAGTCTTAGGGAAATTTGAGAATATTTGAGAGTAAGGGAGAATAGGCAGGATATAATCCTTGGATGATGAACTCAAATCCTCTTGTACTAAGGATTCTTCAGGGGTTAGAGAGCTTTTGGTTGTGAATGAATTGATCATTAGGAACAGTGAGATGGGTTTGTGACAGGCATGGAGATTGCATGATGACCTGCCTGGCTGGAGCAAAGGCTGTGGATATCACACAGAATCATTAAAAAGCGATGGGTGGTGCCTGGGATGAGGCAACAGTTGTAGTCCATGTTGGTACCAATGGCACTGTAAAATGTAGTCAGCTAGACCTGGAAGCCAAACAGCCTGCTAATTAGCAGATTGAAATCCAGGATTGACGAAATCATATTCCCCCAAATGCTACCTGTTTTGCCAGCTTGACAGGTGGAGCTCCGGAGCCCCAGTTCATAAATGGAATGGTGATGCCAGGAGGAAGGATTTAGATGTGTTAGGCACTGAATCTTTTGGGACAAGCCAAACCTGTACAGGCCACCATGAAATGAACCAAAATGGAGGAACACTTCTGTCATATAACATCACAAAGAGCAAAAGCTTGATATGCTTTTGTGCCAGTGGACATATCATGATACTGAGGAACTTGATACCATTTTATAAATGTAAGCCATGACCCTTTCTTGCCACAGACAAGTTTCAAAGTGAATAGAAAAGTGGGAAGGGGTAGCCATTTCAGAAAATACTATATAAAGTATATAGTCAGTGTGGAAATTGAGTTGTTAGTAGACATGACAGGAGATGAAGGCAAAAAGCCTGGGGAAAAACACCATCTTTTGAAAAAGACACTGTGTATTGATGTTCCTAGAAGGGTGCATGGGGTGAGGAGAAGAGTCACTATGGTTGGCAATATCCAGTGGTGTGCCAGAGCTGGCTCGTGCCAACTCACAAGAGCCAGTTGTTAAATTATCTGGAATTTTGCAAGCCAGAGCAAAAGCTTGATATACTTTAGCAACTGGATGGCAGAGGTGAGCTTTGACACCTAGCATTCCAGGCAGCTGTTCTGCGGCTAATGGCTGCAATGGAGCTGGCAGGGCCATTTTTTAAACATCTTAGCAGCACACCGCTGGCAATATTTGACTATAAAGATATAGGGACTCAAAAAAATGAGGCTGTGAAAAAGACTGGAAAGAAAAGTTGGGGAGGGGAGAATCTCCTTATATTGCCTGAAAGTTCAACTAGATTGTAACCCGCAGCATAAGAAAACATCTACCAACTCTAGGAAGACTTTCTGACTAAGATAGGATTTTGTGTGATCCACCAGCATTCTTTTTATGGCTGGGGGTAGAGGGGGAATCATTAAGAAGTGAAATTGTCATCTGGCTTCTGGCAAATACTGCCAAACATTTAAAAGTGACCTGTTGGTATACCCTAAGTACAATCAAAGTAAACATTCAGTGCTCACAGGGGCTTCTCTTGTGATGTTTGGCTGAAAAGACTTGTAATGGAGTTTTTTTGTTTTTGTTTTTGCATTGTTGTTTGAACAGGACATGCTTGGTGATTTGTTCATTCCCATGGACACCCCAGAGGCTCAGTATAGAGGTTTTCTGAAGGGGCTGTTTGGTGGAACTGGTGGAACACTCGACCGAGAAGAACTGTGTAAGTGTTTTTCACATACGATGTGTCACAAAAAAAACCCCAAAACCCAAGAAGGAAAGTAAAATATAGAAAAGGGAAATAAATAGAATAAAATTGTGATAGCATGACACTGGCATTTCTGAAATGGTAGTTCAAAACAATTATTTGAACAATGTTGGAAACGTTCAAATGGATAATTTAAATTATACCATTTAACATCAAGATTTAAAATAAACTTTCTAAAAGTTGCTATGTATCTATGTGCTAAAGGCTATGATGGAGGTACTGAATAATGCCTATTACGTATCCAGAGATAAAAAATGCATTGTATGAATATCTCACCCCAGTGATTCCTACAAAAAAGAAAAAAAAAAAAAGACTGACCCAGATATATGCAACTAGTATCTTATTGTGCTAATGTAAGGTTAATCTGAGGAGTCAAAAGCCATCAGTTACTTGCATGAACTTATTAAAGTTTCATTGTCTGACATCAATAATGCCTACAACTTTCTATTGCATTCAGTATATTCCATTCATCTTAAGACTGACTTCAGACCTCATGGCTGAAACATCTGGCCTAATTTTTGGACTTTCTTGCTTCTCCATTCCCTGCTTTTTGTTACATGTTGCCTGATGAAGAGTTCTTGAGAACTTGAAAGTTTGCACACTCTTCTGTGCCATTTTGGGACAAAATAAAGGTATTACTAGACTCTGGGATTTATTTCATGGACAATATGGGTATGTTTGCTTTTTATTCTACTGAAGTTGTGGGGGGATTGTTGTATGTTGTAACCTTAACTTACTGCAATATAGTATTAATTGCATATACTTGGGTTTCTTGTGTGGACTTTCAGATCATTGGTTACAAAATGATCTGATAGGTGCACACACACACACACACACACACACACACACGTGTGTGCTTTTCTCCATATATTATCCCTCTTTTCACCATGAATTATTTCCCCTAAAACTGAAATTGGGGAGCAGAAAGATGACTGTGTGATGGTGGTCTTCCACCATCTGGGAATATCCAGTGATTCAAGGTTTATACCTGTAAAATTCTCAGATAATCTAGAGGACTCTGTACTGGGGAAGATTGTTCTGTGGGCATAAAACTCTGCTTAAGAGAGTTGTCCCATTCAGAATATTATCTTTTCTGAGGATGGAACTGTTTCTCCATGGTAGGCCAGTATTTTAGAGCTGACATGAAGCAGTCCTTTTGCAAATATTCCCAAAGTATTTCAATAGGAATACTTATTTTGTACAGTTTGTTTTTTATATTGGAGCCCAAAATTGGTGGGGGTTCTTAAAAAAAGAAGTTATTGAAAACACAGTTGCAAACAATTCCAATGAGGAAATATAAATGGAAGCATCAGAAGCCAATGTGGTTATACATAAAATCATTTCTTGACAATAGATTTAATACATTTAATAATACACATATTATATATCTTGATTGCAGCAGTGGATTTGACAAAGTACCCTATGACAGGCTGATTAGCAAATTATTAAATGTAGGCTGGATGGCATGACAAGGGATATATGCTAGATCAAAAATCATACTCATCACTGTTTTCTCATCAAATGGGAATGGGATAAAGAGTGGATACCGTAGGATTCAGTCCTGGCATTTTCCCCTTCAAAATATTATGAATGACTTAGATAAAAAGTGGAGGGACTGCTTATTAAATGTGCAGTTAATAGAGAATTTGGTGGGATACCTTAGAAGATAAAATTAAAAATGAAGATGATAAATTAGAGAAATGGGCTGAAAATAACAGAATTACATTTAACAGTGACAAATGCAAAATTCCTCATGCAGGAAACAGAAATCAAACACACAGATACTGAATTGGGAAAATGTGTGGCTTAGTTCTAGGATCTGGGAAAGAGATCTTGGAAGAGTAGATGATTACAAACTGAATATGACTCAGCAGGGTGGGACATAGCTACCAAAAGACAAATGCAGTTTTAATCTGCATCAAGAGAAGTATAGTTTCCAGGTCATGGGGAGCCATGGTATCAGGTTGTTCTGTTTGGTCACACCTCACCTCAAGTACAGTGGTCACTTATGGACATCATGCTTTAAGTATTCATATAAATGGAACAAGTTCAAATATGAACAACAGAAATGAACAGGGGACCAAACACCCCCCCTCTCCCTAGGGATTGAAGGAATTGAGAATATTTAGTTTTCAGAACAGAGGTGGGAGATATACAACTTTCAGTTATCTGAAGAGATGCCACATAGAAGAAAGTAGAGACCAGTTGTCTATGTCCTGGGAAGCCAGGTTCTAAATTCATGTTAGGGAAAAAACATCTAATCTCGAGTGGAATTAATTATCAAAGGAAGTGATGAACTTCTATTTGATGGGATACATTCAAATGGAATTTAGACATCTGTTGGGGATGGTTTATTTTGGATTCATGCATGGAATAAGGGGTTGGACTTGATGGCCTAAAGTACCTCTCCCAAGTCTATGATTTTATAATTCTTTGATTCTGTGATCTGAATGAGAATTCTTTCTAGAACCTTCATCTCTGTTGGCATAGACATAGGCATGAAGTTTCAGGAAACATAAGAAAATACTTTTAATTCTGTTCCATTTCCAGTTGGTGAAGCAACAGCAGGAAAAGCATCTCGTACTCTTGCTCAGCATATTCCTGGATCCATTGAAAGTATTAAGGGAGCTGCAGGAGGTGCTATTGGAGATCTGGCTCGCGCACGCCTTGCTCTTGATGAAAGGGGACAAAAACTTGGAGAACTAGATGAAAAGACAGCAAGAATGATGGCAAATGCAGAGGCATTTTCCAAACATGCACATGAGGTGGGTGTTGATCCTGGAGAAGTATTTCTTGCCTTTACTGTGTTTCAGATGACAAATATCCTTGAACTGATTGTTTTTTCTACTCACTCCATTAGGCAGATGCCACTTAAATCAGAATTGTTTGAGAGAGCTTCTTACCTATTTTGGGCCATATTTAGTGCATTTATTCTTTTCTTTATTATTCTCAGCAGCACTAATTGGGGTGAAGAAAGATAGTTAAGAAAGATAAACTGTAATAAAATGCATGACTGACAAGCCAGGAAAGAAATGGTTTCAACTTCACTGGTTATACTTTTCAAAATACTTTTTGTACGGATTGAGCACAGATCTTTCAGCCTTTCTGCTGGAGTAACTTCCAAGGGTGCCACTGTTTTTAATCATACATGTTTAAACCTCTGACTGGGATTTGGTTGCCCATAAACTAAGCTTGACCCTCTTGTGGGGAATCATCATTCCTCTTCTACATGTCTGTACATGCCCAAACATACAGATTCACTCTGGAAGATGGTCATACTGAATCTTCTGGAGAATTGATTTCACTCTTTTAATACCTCCTGAAACAGAAAAGGTGGCTAAATTTTTGGGGACTTTCAATGAAGAATGTAGTGGTGCCTTAAGCCTCAATAGGTAGTAAACATTTGTCTTGTCAAATATTAGCAGCCCCCTCCCCCCTCAAAAAACCCCAAATCCTTTACGGTTCTAATAGCAGAATTCCTGGTCCAGGGAAATATGGGGCATAGATGTTACATCTGTGCCCCATATTTGCAAATATCGGCTCCAGCATTTAATCTATAAACACCCAGACAGATTGGAAGTTGGGATTTAGGGCTCATACTGCAGAATGTTAGGATGCAAGAAAAACATTTACATGTTATTTTATAATCTCTGTGTCACTTGAATAATGTTACCTCTACCCTTTCAGGTAATGCTCAAATACAAGGACAAAAAATGGTATCAATTCTGATTTTTAACTGGGTAGCTGCCCCTCAGTGTACTGTGACAAGAAGTCAAGGGGACAAGCCTCAAAAGATCAGCCTCTCAGCAGAAGCAGCTCTTCTTCCATTCGGTTTCCTCTTTCCCTTTTCCTGTTCCCCAGAGAGTCAAAGAAGAAGGTAGTTTTCTAAGGCCACTGCACAGTGGATCTTTGCATCTACCCCGAGTCTTTTCCAAATGATCAATATCTAACAGGTAACATTTAACTGGCTTGAGTATGAGCTGTGGAGAGGATAATTCCTGGTTTAAAGCAGCATGTATATATTAGATTGTTAATGCAGTTACACTGAACAAAACCTTGCATGATTAAGTGGCTTCTTATACAAAGATTAAAAAAAAAAAAGCAAAGCATGCTATGACTGAGGAAAGTGGATTTATTGTTATGTTCCACAAATAGACATATAGACATTTTAAAACATTTCTAGCATGTTGCTTTCAACTGAAAATAAACTGCATTTCTCTGATCTGACATTCCTTTTCTGTAGGCAGGTTTAGTTTGAAAACAGTCATGCATTTCATTAGTTAACAAATAAAGTCACATTAAAGTTCAGTGGCCAAACTTTTGTGCTTTCTTTATGGGATGTCTAGATATTTTTAGACAGATGTTACTACTTTCTATCAGTATTACATATATTCCTTAAATTTATTCCATCAAAGTTCCAGATAATTTTGCAACTTTTCCAAAATTCATGATTTTTAATATGCTACTTTATTATCCAAAGTCATACATTTTTGTCTTAAACTTTCCTTAAATTTGCACATTTTGTAAAGTTTTTGAGCTGAGAAATATCTTGATGCAGATTGTGGTGGATTCGTTGAATTATGTTTGTTTTTGATAGACTTGAAAGAAATCTAATGGATTTCTCCAACACTGAAAGTCTTTGCTTATACTTTGGGAATTGCAGCAAAAATTTATAAATAAACTATACAGATTACAACTAATGTTGCTTTATTTTTCAGTAATTGTAGTAAAACCATATCTAGTAAGCAGGATATATTAAGGCATAAAATATCATGTTCAAAAGGGATTGCAAGGACCTCTTTGGGGAGATCCCCATATTAGGTCACTGGATACTAGCATGGCTAAGGATGAGGTGTGGGTGAATAGCTTAGTAAAAAGTATTTATTTTGTTTTTAAGGACCAAGGGATGGGTAACATTTTGACAACAGTTTGTCCCCTTCCACAAAAAGCTTTGTCCGACTGAGAGCTTCTTGGAGCATCTACCAAGAATCGCCCGGTCTCTCCAGAGAGTTAGGAAGTGCAGAGACAAATATGTTTACCTCTGATTAGCTGCTGGTCAAAGATGCTGAAGTTACTGAAAGCATAATCCCAGATAATTCCAGTTAGGAAAAAATAGAAGAGAAAGGTAGAAACCATGCTGTCTTCCCAAAAACTTAGTGACCATCTGCAATTCACAAAGCTCATAAGTGATGAAAAGAGGTCCCCAAGGAAGCTATGGAAAAATAACTTAGAATATTAAGAAGTCTAAAGTTCAGAATGAGTTGAGGCTGATGAACGTTCAGAAACTTTCAGAATAGGAAAGGCAACACTGTACCAACTACTCAATGAACTTAGCAAAAGGATCACAAAATGACAAGATGTTAGGTGGATTGCTCTACTGTATAAAGAAAAAAGTATGGGGGTGTAAAATAGTTTTATAAAATTGTGCATAATATGGAGAAACTTGTCAAAATTGTCCAGGTCTATTACAGAACCAGGGAACAATCTGTTATTATACATTAAATACACAGTTAACCATTGTATGGGTATCTAAGCCAACAAATGTTGATGTAAATTCCTTAGCAAGAGTTTTATGCTCATATATGAAAAGCAATATAAAAATAATTTTTTATTATAGTTATCAATTATTTAGCAAATGAAAATTATTTAAATAATTGAGAGCTTGGTTATGGTTACTTTATTTTGGGGTGTGCTGGACAATTAGGGAGCTGGACTGGAGGCAAGGCTAAACAGATTCACTGAATGAGAAATCAAAAGTACTACTTTGTACAGGGTCTAGTTTAACCGTGGATTATACTATCACAAGTTTTGATGGTAATCATAAAATTTCCTTTAACAAAAACACTTTTAATAAACAGTAAAAACAAAAGTAAATTGTTAATATTTCAGTGTTCACAGGTTTTCCATTCAGTAAAATAGATACTGAAACATGCTTCAATCAACATTTCCTAATTCAGTTCATGAATGTACTTTTTTAGGGAAGTCATATGTATAGTGCTGTTTTGACTGGTCCTAATAAAGGTGTTACTCCAGCTGTGCTTTGGGGATATTTTTGTCATGGACCAACATGGCTATTTGTATGCCTTGGAAATTACTGAACTGAGTTGCCCTGAGCAGATTCCACCACAACTGGCCAATTATTTTGTTATCTGAAGAGGGACTTTACATTTTTAAGATTCTATCTTCTTTGTCCAATAAGTTACCCTACACTTTTCTGGTGTAATTGACTTTTTCCTTAGTGGATCTCCAGTATTATTCTGTGGCTCAGTTCACTTATTTCTGCTCTGTGAGCCCTACTCCAGAAAGCAGCAGATTTCATGGTTTCAGAGTTGATGCCAGCAGCCATTGCTCACACATTTGCTAAGCCATGGCTCATTTCACTATGGTTAATAACAATACATTACCGTAAACTTAAGTAGTTATTATAACTTCTAATGGCTGCTCCAAGGGACCTCTTTCAGCCATTTCTTTTTTTTTCTTTCTATTTAGAGAAGTAAAATGTATAGCTGGATATAATTAAAACAATTATAATAATTATTTATATAATATTATATAATATATAATATATAATAAATAATTATAATTAAAAATAATTAAAACGAATGAAAGTAAACTGCAGTTCACATCCTCTAGTGTCTTTCAAGCTGGAATTGCAGGCACACGTGTTCGCTTCAAAGGGATCACACAGGAATCAAGTTACAGTCTAGTTCTGTTTTGAAAGCCCCACCAATCAGCAGACAGAATTGAACAAAACAAGAAACTTTCCCATAGAAAAGACAAACCTCATTGCTGCAGATGGAGTTTTGTAAAAACAAACTTTTAACAAATCTTTCTTTTTAACTGTAAGTAAATTTTAGGTCTCTTTTAACTTCCACCTTTCCTCCAGCTTTTTGTGAATTAATCAGATTAATTTAAAGCTCTATTTCTTCATTTAAAAATATAGACCCAAAAATAAGGATAACCCCCAAGAGATTTATCACTGAAAAATAGTTATAAACCAAGGTGTTTAAGAAATGACAATCGGTTAGTTCTAATGTCCATTAAAGGCCGCACCATAGTAGCGAACGGAGAGAGTTCCCCTGCCTCCCAACCCCTCAACTTCACAGCCGTTCGCAGAGACTTCGGTCTGCGTGATTAGCTTTCAAGGAACGGCTGTCTGGAGACTGTATGGGTTGATTCCCTTGCTTCCTCCTTAATCCGGAGCACGTTGGGTGGCCGGCGCTTGCTGCCAGCCACCAATCCAGCTGCAATGTCGTCTCTTCCTATCACGGAGAGATGTTTAAGCCACCATCTTCCCACTGGAAGTTGGTGGGTGGCCTTTTTGAAAGCATTTTTTCCCCCAGACTATATTATTCCTTTGATTCCAGGCCCCATGAGGTATTTTAGTCGTCCTTTTGGAATTCACCCCCGTGCTGTGCTGCACACACAAAGAGGTTATTTCCTTTTCCTTTCTTTCCCCCCTTTTCTTCTGTGTGTCAGCTCTCTCCTGTCTACTGACAGGAGTTTCAAGTAATCCTGTCTGCTGACAGCAGTTTCTTCTACTCCTGGCTCTCCCTCCAAATTCGCCCAACCCTCTGCCCCACCAGTTAGTTCTTTACTTGTCATAGTAGAATACAAGTTAGGTACCATCTCATCACAGATTGGCTCTTTGATTATCAAAGTGAAATATCCAAATGCACAGCTAATTTTCAAGTGCAGCTCAGGAGAAGGAAAACACTTCTGTTTATTTTGCACAAAATGATGAAGTAAATTCATTCAACAAAGTGAGCAAATTCATTGACTGATTTAAAATCACACAGAAAAGACATAACAAAGCAGAACAGTAAGCTACACTATACAGGATTTGTCAGATGAAAACTAAAACAGGAAAGGAATGGGTTGCAAATTTTTAAATACAAGATTGTGTTCTCTTATACTAAAGAGACATCCCAGTCATCTACCATGCCCTGCAATAGACACATACTTCATGCATGTACTACTTGGAAGTAATGTACTCTGAGCAGGGTATGCATATTTTGCACTTTCCTTTACACACATGAAGTAAACTCATAAGGATCTATGATATATGGTATAGATGGTCAGTAGCTAGCATATAAAAAATCATGGAATTATTACAGAAACCTGAGATACAGATACTCCATATGTTCAAGTTATATATATAGTGAAACAGATTAATTCAAGTTTATTTTTCATATATTGCACTATGTAAGGTACTGGAATATATGGAGTACCTATTTTTCATACAGAAAACTTCTGCACTGGTAAAACGTAGCAACTCATTCTTCCAGCTGTTCCTAGCTACATTGCATTTGAAAAAATAATCCTATATTCATCTTTCTCTAATGCTTCAACATTTTAACGGTTAAAAATAGGCTTTGGAATCACTAAGGTATCATCAAGAAATAATATTATTTAGTGAAATAATTTCATAGTAATTTCTAGTTATACCATGACCTCTGAATTATTTTCTTAATTGATTTAGGGGTTTAGATTTTTTTCTGAAATATCAATGGATGTACCAATGCTAAAAACAGAAATATGCCTAATTGTCCAGCCTATAAATTTCCTCATAGAACTGTGCATTACAAACTTCTGTTCCAAATTCAGAATTCCAGGTCTTGGAGATCTCCCCAGCTAGGCCCAATTTTGATCCTTACTGAAAGCTTTACTGAGAGTTTTACAGCATTTTCCATTTCATGCTTAACAATCTGTGCCACCTGAAAAAAAAACAAAAACAAAAAAGCAGACTTAGAAATATAATGGGGTGCATGGTTCCCATGAGATAGTCAAATATGTAACTTTTTTTTTACTAGTTGGGTATTTGAATAAACCTGTAATACTACAGCAGGAACAATTCAGAGAATCTGAAGAAGTAACTACACAACCAAGACTCTCAAAGAATCATAATCCATTTTATGTCATTTTTTTTTCAA